CAGGCTGTTCGTACTGTTAGAAGTAACTTTTGCCCGAACCTGTCTCATTTTCCCATAGGGAAATTGGAGAACTCGGAGAGCAAGGAGCACACTTCATACACCTTCAGGTCCCCCCGCCTTCATTGTATACACTGTGGTGCCTTCTCCTTCCCAGGTGTATCTGTCAGGTAACAGGCATGGTTAATTAGCTGGCTGGTTGGTGCATATCAGGAGGTGATAAGACTGATCAAAAGTCCTCCACATTAAAAATAATAATAATAATAACCTTTTTATTTTGAAATACTATTAGATTTACAGGAAAGCTTCAGGGATAGTGCAAAGGCTTCTTGTATACGCCTCACTTCCACCTTTTGCAATCAGTGATAGTACAACAAAACTGGCCCTGAATCAGTGTGCCCTTGGACAAGTCACCCCCTCTCAGTAGGCTTCTGCTGCTGCTGAAAGAGGGCTAACAGTGCCTGCCCCCAACACTGTCCCCATGTCACTGGAATAAAGTCGCTGGGATGAGGCCAGCCCGTGGGGTGGCCCGTGGGTCTGGCCTGCTGCCTCCCCAAGACCCAGGGCTCCTGGCAGCCAGAGGGCAGCGCCCAGTGTGCCTCCTCACAGCCCCATCCCAGCTGCCATCATGCTTTTCATCAGCACAGACCCAGGGCTAACATAGACTCCAGTACATGGGAAGGTAGACAAACACTATTTGATGAAAAGGAGGAGAGAACGTTACCTGGGGACCGTAAAGTGCTCAGTGGTTTATGGGGGAGAGGGGGCACCAGGCACAGAAGGATGGAGAAGTCACATGCAGGTAAGGGGCAGACTGGGGTCAAGTGACCCGGTCACCAGGGCATGCCAAGCTGCCTCCCAATGTGTGCAGAGGTCCAGTGACAGTGTTGGGTGTCAGAAGGTCCCTGCCTCCAACAGGCCTCCAGCCAGTGTTGATAAGACTGGCCAGGTTGCTGTAATCAAATAGGACCCTGGAAACCAAGGGGTTTTTCCCCAACAGCACAAGAAGTAACCCGAGATCCAAGCTGCCCACCAGCTAATCCCCCCTCTACACCTCCTGCTCCCCATCCCACTGTAACTGGCCCTGCAACCACAGGCAACCCAGGCCAGAGAGAAGACCCGAGAAGATACAAAGGATGGAGCACCCCTCAGGAATCCCCCTTAGCCCCCCTTTTCCCCATTCCTAGGCTCAGACCATGGGCTAGGACCCAGGGCTCTATCTGTCTCTGGAAGATGGGCAGGGCCCTGCATGATGGGGCCAGAGCAGGCTGCAGAATAGTCCGACCCTTCCTCTCTCCGCCACAGAAAAATCTTATTTTTCTCTCCTCTAAACTCTCTAGTTTCTGCTCTGCATTTTCCACTCCTACCCTGCCTCATACATATCTGTACATTTGGTTCACTTAAATCCTCTCACATTCAGCGGTCTTTAAGGGCACGAGCCAGGCTGCAGTTGTCTGAGACGTCATGTGGAGAGGACTCAGGAATGTTAGTTGTGAGATCTTTGAGGCCACTTGCATCTCCTCCTACACTCCAGAGTCCCCTTTCTTCCCTTCTCTCCTCCCCTGTCTTAGCAAATTGGTGGTGTTTCCAAGAGGAATGTAGTTTAAAAACTGAGGAGATACCAGTACAAGGCCCCAGTGTCTGTGAGTTGATGTAGCTGGTCCCAAATATTGAAAGCTTGTGCTAAAAGAGCCCCGTCGAGCCCCAACTTCCTCCTCCCTGTCTCCTCCCGTGTACTCTAAAACAGCTGGTACACGTCAGGGGGAGGGCCACCTGTCCAGTGGGCCAGGTTTCATGTTCCCAGGGTAGACAGGCCCACATCGATGCTTAACTGGTAGTTCTTTTTTGCTTCTTCTCACATCTCACATGCACACACTACAAGCCTCTGGACCAGGCCTATTTCAGTCTGGGAGAAATTAGAGATGAGAAGTGTGTGTGTGTACAGTCTTGAACTTGAATCGGAAGTATCAGTGTAAACTCTCAATGTGTTTACCTTTAAAACATTTCTCAGTTTTGTCCACTGGAAAGGCCGAAAACTGATGACGTACCCAGGAACGGGCACACCTGATGCAGAGATTATGGTCTCTACAAACCTTATCCCACAAACAGCAATCAGAGAGCCTTAGAAGAAATAACTCGTTCCAAGTCTGTGGCAGGAAATATGCAAGATGAGCCTGGCCATCTAGTTGTGGCCAAAAGCAAAGAAGCTTCCAAGAACCAAAAATGATAGTGTCAGAAGGACTCAGAAATCTACCTGAAGGGCAGCCCGGGTGGCTCAGCGGTTTAGCGCCGCCTTCAGTCCAGGATGTGGTCCTGGAGACCCGGGATCGAGTCCCACATCGGGCTCCCTGCATGGAGCCTGCCTCTCCCTCTGCCTGTGTCTCTGCCTGTGTCTCTGCCTCTCTCTCTCTCTCTCTCTCTCTCTCTCTCTGTGTGTGTCTCTCATGAATAAATAAATAAAATCTTTTTAAAAAATCTACTTGAAGAGGCTCCCACTGGCCAGTAGGAGGAGGAATATGAACAGAGGACAGCTGCAAAGGGCTGAAACACATCAAATATGTTTAAATCCGAGAACACATAATGACTCTGAGGGAAAAGACCTCTCTGTCATCATAAGGGATGTTTGAGAATCAATTGATTATTTTAAAAACTGGTAAATATGAAGAAAGAGTCAGGAACTTTTTGGTTTTCCCATGCTTATGAAATAATGGCTGTAAGTAAGGCTATCAGTGACTACTAACATCAAAAAAGAAAGACAACCAAGCAATATGTGCTCCTTTCTATGAAAGTACAGAAACCTATTAGGTATTCTTACAAAAAAAAAATCAAATCTGATCTGGTCTCTAACTTTAATTACCAATTTATAGGAAAGACAAAGGCAATAACGTGTGAAATGTCACCTTGGGAATGTTAGCAGCAAAATCCAGATGATCTATAGGAAAACAATGCAGTTTCTTTAATAAATTACAAAAACAAAACAAAACTGTGGAGGTATCTATGGATCACAAGAGATCTAGGAGACCCATCAACCAACTGTGACATCTGGTACTTATTTAGGTTCCAATTTGAGCAAAAACTATACAAAATTGTGAGACAGGGAAATGTGAACACCAGATATTTGATTATACTACAAAATTATTTTTTGGTCTGATCATAGTAATGTGGCTATGCCTCTTTTGTTTGAAAGTCCTTACCTTGTAGAAAAACATTCTGAAATACTTCGGAATGAAGTAGGAGGTCTGAAATTGCTTCAAAATTATGTAGGACGAGTATACAGAGGCATTTTTAAGTTCGTTAAATATTTAAAGGCCTGTGCCCCTATGAGACGATCAAATCTGAATCTAATCAAGCCTCTGGATCTTGTTACCAGCTCAAAGGCAAAAAAAGGAGGGAAAGAGGAACATGTTCAAGAACACTGAGGATACAGTAACCCAATATATGATATGGGCAATTCTGGAGGACGGCAGGGCTATTTCTTCACAAGTGCATGGCACAAAAATAAAATAAAAAGAGGGAAATTGTTACAGTTGAAAAGGAACTGGAGACATAGCCACCAGGCACAATTTATCTTGGTTGGATCTTGATTTGAACGAACCAACTGTGAAACACCATTTTTGAGCAATTGGAGAAAATTCTACATGGGTCGAGTAACCAGTGATAATAAGGAATTGCTGTTTGTTGGCTATGTTCATGGCGTTATGATTAAGCTGCTAAAAAGTCCTATTTCTTAAAACACATGCTGAAGTATTCACAGGTGAAATGAAATTGTGTCTGCCGTGTGCTTTAACAATACCTCCCCCAAATGGGTCGGGGAGGAGAGTAGAGAAAATTAACTTGGCAGGATGTTAATGTTTAAAATTGAGTTGATTGTACCAGGCTCATTATTCATGTGTGCTTGAAATCTTCCATAATAAAAGTAAAATATAGAACATTTTAAAGATTTATTTATTTGAGAGAGAGAGCATGAGCAGAGGGGAGGCGCAGAGGGAGAGGGAGAAGCAGCCTCCCCCCTGCCAACCCCGGGGCAGGGAGCCCGACTCCATCCCAGGACCCTGAGATCCTTAACTGAGCTGAAGTCAGATGTCCAGCTGACTGAGCCACCAGGCACCACCCCTCCTTTTTGAAAGATTTTATCTATTTAGAATATAGAACATCTTAAAAGTAAATAAAGCTAGTCCTTTTTAAAAAAAAAAAATTAGGGATGCATGGGTGGCTCAGCGGTTAAGTGCCTTCGGCCCTGGAATCAAGTCCCACATTGGGCTCCCCGCAGGGAGCCTGCTTCTCCCTCTGCCTGTGTCTCTGCCTCTCTCTGTGTGTCTCTCTCATGAATAAATAAATAAAATTTTCAATAAATAAATATCTAAAAAAAATAAAAATAAAATTAAGTAATCTCTGCACCCAGTGTGAGGCTCAAACTCTCAACCCCAAGATCAAGAGTCACATGCTATAACCACCGAGCCAGCCAGCCAGGCACCCCCAATAAAGCTGGTCCTTGCACAAGGTGTTAACTTTACACACCAGAACTGGGGACAGGAAGGCCAGCCAAGTGTGGAAGGGGGAGGGAGGTGGCATGGCAGGGAAGACTCTGAACCTAACCTAAGCCTGGCAGGAAGGGTGAAGTAGATAGGAACCAAGGCTCGGTGATGTTGAAATCCTCGCTGGCACCTGCCAGTTTCCTTCCTACTTCCTATAGCTGTTATTGAGAGAGGGTGCTTGTTCCATTTTTTTGGCCACGTTGTGAGTCCTTTGAGAAGTAAAATGTCCCCACTCCCCAGCATTGTGTCTTGCCTGACCTCGCCCCAGTTCTCAAACAAACCTCCCAATCCAAGGGGTGGCACATCCAAGCCCAGCCCCAGGCGTTGGACGAGTACTGGTCTATGGCTCCATCTGCTGCTGATCCTGGGAACTGAGGCTGCCCAGACAGGATCCTTACTGAGAAGGAAGCTAAGGGATAGGTTGAGGGATCTGGGCCTTCCCCCTCAGGAAAGAGAAACACGGGGCAGTGAAACATATAAGAAGCCTTTAATTTCATCACCATAAACATTAGACTCTGATTGCTCACATACAGTATAAAATATTTACTCCACTAAATAAATAAGACATAACATTATTGCAAACGGCACTTAAACCCCCAAGAGATAAGACCTCCTTAGCCTAGGCAGGGGGTACTCCTGAGTTTCTGTGCGAGATTCCCCAAGCACAGATATGCCCTGGGGGCTGAGACGAATAAAAGCTTGAGCCAGAGCCACGCTCTGTGTGTCTGGTCCTGCAACAGCCCCAAAGAGGGGTGTGGAGCCAGTGGGGGAAAGGGGTGGGCGGCTCCTTCATCAGCCTAGCCCTAGAGAGCAGAGGGGAGTAGAGGGTGGGAGGCAGGCTGAGCCAAGAGGGGAGAGGAGGCTAGGGAGGCAGCTGAGACCTGGAGCCCCACCTCCACCTATGTCCCCAGCTCCCCCAGCCTTGGGTAACGAGATTTGGGATATCCACTGGGTAAACAGGGCTTCCAAGTTCCCGGGTTAGGCAGTTCTGGGGCCAGACCAATCATCCAGGGGAAGACAATTCTGGCAATGCTCAGCCTAATAAACCAGCCATCTCTCAGGCCCACTGGGGAAATCACCTCTCAGAAACCAAGATGGCAGAGCTGGGAATTGATTCCTCTCTACTTAGTTAAATAAATAAGTTAAATATTTAAAGGCCTGTGTCCCTATGATGGCAACACAGGAGCCAACAAGCCACGTCCTGATAAAATGTGGCAGTGGGGGAAGAGTAGAAAGGCAGTGCTAGGCAGCCAGGTGGCTTCCTTTCTCCCCACCAGACTTGACTTTTACCCACAAATAACTTCCTTCTCACATCCTGCAGAGGAATTTCACACTAGAAACTTCCACGCAAGAGCAACATCGAGGGAATCTAAGGGATAAGGGGTTTGGAGGGGAGAGACCCCAGGTGGTTTACTCAGCTCTCCAAATCCCTTCACTGGGTATGTCTTGACACTGGCTGTGAGCCTTAAGGGCCTGGGTAATCCCCCTAGAGTCTGGCATTCCAGTGCACGGAGCCAGTGAAATGCCCCACCCTTCTGGCCCGCCTGTAGAAGTCCAGACTGAAGCCTGTGCCCACCAACACTCAGCCGGCCCTGAAGACGGGGAAGCCCCAGGCCCCCACCTGTGCCCCTCGGCACCTTGTCACCACGGGGTGGCAGCAGAGAGCCATGCCACATTGGCAGCCACAGACCCTGGCAGGTGGGGGAGCAGGGGTGCAGGCCTGGCCCTGGGAGGCTACCTGGGGATGCGCTGGGGGGGGGGGGCAGGCCAGGACCCGGGGAGGCAGGCCCGTCCTCAGTGGGTCAGAAGTACTCTACACTGAGTATTTGGCCAAGTCGCTCTTGTCAAATACTACCTGTGTAGCAAAATAAATGGCCACCAAACCAAGGCCCGCAGCCGACACCATGTAGGCAGTGACAGACTGGCTGAGCTGAACGATGGAGCCCATAAACAAGGACGGAGCCACCTGGGACAGCAGGAAGGCACTGTCCAGGATGGCAAGGTCCAGGCAGATGCCCCGGCCCGGAATGCCTCTGGCCTCGGGCGGCTCGCCCACCACCACACGCATGGAGACATCGCAGGCAGAGGCCCCGCACAGCACAGGTGGAGGTGGGAGGAGGCTGCTGCCTCCAGCACCCATGTGTCCATTGGGGAAGGGCGATCCGGTCTTGGGGCCCGATGGAAAGCTGGTCATCAGGCTGTCCTCGCTGGCACTGCTTCCAGCATCTCCTCGGTATTTGGGCAGGAAAACCTGGGGAATGGGGCAGAAAAATGGCAACAAGGATAGGTAGGTACCCAAGCATTAGGATCCCAGCTCCGAGAACAGATCCCGGCTTGGGAGAAACCAGGCAACCGGCCTTAATGACACCTGTGCAGCAGGTGAAAGCCAAGAAAGCCAAGCAGACCCTCCTTGGTCTAGTTAGGGCTCTCCGCAGGGGCAGGGGATGAGGAGGGGACAAATCTGAAACCAAGAGTCTAGATCTCCTCTAGCCTCTCCTGGAACCAGAAGTGGCAGGCAAGCTCCTACTACAAGTCAGAAAGAGAACAGGAACAGGACCCGGGGTAAAGAAAAAAGCCAGAATGAGGACAGGTGACGAGTGAGAGAGACGTGTCAGAACAGAGGAACAAAACCCAAAGGCGGGGCCCCTGGTGACCTGAACCCACACACAGGCTCTCCTAAGCCTCCTACTTCCTGCCCCCCACCATTTTGCCTTGGGAAATCCTTCTGGACCTCGCAGAGAGAGGCTCTGCTCCCACGGGGTCCCAGGCCTACTGTGAGGTCCGTGGTCCCAGATGAGGGCAGGGAAGGTCCAGCAGACTCAGCCTGCAGGACGAGAGGAACAAGAGGAATCTCCCAGACTCCTATCGCCCAGCCATGCTAATGCTGAAGCCCTTCTTCCTATGCACCGTGCGCCTTAGACCAGGGTAGCCTGCCCCTGCCCAGAACCTCCTGCTTAAGGACGGGGCCAGAATTCATCCCCCACTGTCCCTGGGCCAGCTAGTGCCTTACACAGAAAGATTCTCGAGTTTGCTGCACTAGAGCCGGGACCCATGGCAGAGCTCAAAAGGGAAGCCGACGGCTCTTGGTACAGCCAGGAGGCAAGGCAAGTACAGACAGTGTATAGGGCCAAGGGTGCCATCAACTGCTGCTTGGAATGGGCCTATGGGACCTGTCCTCCCTGCCTGCCACCCCCGGAAAGACCAGTGAGGCTGGAGCCTCAAGAGGCCCCTAGGGATACACATGCTCCTCTGTCGGAGGGGAGGACCAGCCCCAGCATGTTCCCTGGCACGAGTCTATATGACCCAGCCTGGCCTCCAGACACCAGCCCCCAGGCCGCAGGCCCCAACTGGGGCAGCAGAAGAATAGAAGCTGACGAAGGTTATCAGTGGGCTGACAGGGGTCTCAGGGACCAGGCCACCCCAACCAAAACCCTGGCCTCTCCCTCCACACACCCCACCCCTGCAGCTACCTATTCAATTAACCACCTTCCTAGCTAGGCATATCTCTGCTACATCATTCACGTCCTACAAGGGGCAGACATACATCTTCCCTACGATCTGGAAGCTCCATGAGGGCAGGCCTGCATCTCCTCCCTCAGGACACCCCAGCTTCTTACCCACTGGGCAGAGCTCTGCACCCAGGGCTGTAGCTGGCTGAGGCCAGTGAAGGGGACGCAGGTGACCACACAGCTTTGGTCAGGAGACTTCCCATGGAACAGGGCCCCTGGAGGAGCTGGTTAGTGTGGGGCCAAGCAGGAAGGAGGCCCCCCAACTTACAGCAGCCAGGAGAGCGGTGTCAGGTATGCCAGGCTCAGAGATCCACCGTGGGGGCAGGGGAAGGGGACGGAGACAAAGATGTGAGGCAGGAAAAGAAAAGAGAGAATTAGGTAGAAAAAGAAGATGAACCAGAAAGAGAAGGGGTAGTGTGGAGCCTTCCCCATCTTGGAGACCAAGGCAGGGCATGGGTCAGTCGCAATGCCCCTCCCTGAACAGAGAGCTGCTGCCGACACCAAACAGCCCCCACTCCACCCCACTCCGGCCGCTGAGGCTAGGTGCCCAGAGGTCACTGGCGCAGCCCCTGCCTCGGCCCGTAGGGCAACCCAGCCCGACTGAGGGCCTCCGCCGGCCTGCCTCTGCAGGATGCCCAAGGAAGGATTGGGCATTTCCTGCAATCATCCACTCAAGTGCTCTAGAGTCCTGACACCAGGAAGTCATTGCCAGAAGCTAATCCACACCCTCCTTCCGCAGCCCACGTCTCCGGCCCTGGGCTACACGGGCTTCCTCTCCAATCCAAGAAGGACTAGCCAGCGGCTCGGCTCCGACGGGCCTGGCCTGGGCCCGGGGCTGGGCCTGGGCTGCTGCATCTGCCCCCCGCCCCGCTCCACCCAGCGGCCGGCACGAGTACCTGCTTCTCGCGGTGGTAGAGGGACGCCAGCGTGTAGGGCAGGATCTGCAGGGCGGAGAAGGTGAACCCGGTGAGGGCGGCCGACGCGGTCACCACGGCCACGCTGCGGGACAGGCACATGGTGCCGGCAGCCACAGGGAAGGCCACCACGCTGGCCAGATAGACGGCCCGGGTGCCGAATCGCTGCACCAGCCGGTCCATGACCAGAGAGAAGAGCAGGGAGACGGCGCACTGCAGGAACAGCCCCAGGCTGCCCATCCGGACCCCTGTGGGTGGGGCAGAGGGGGGAGTCAGGCCCCAAGCAGGAGGAGGCCTGTGCAGCCTGGGAAAGGCTCAGGCCTGCGGGCACCTGCCACCTGCCGGGCACCTGCCACCTGCCGTCTGAAACTGCTGCGAACCGCACCTGGTTCCCGCGCGGTCCACACCCGCTCGCCCTTAGCAACCCAAGCCTGTGCTCTAACGCGGCCCTTAGACAACACGGCCAAGCCTTCGGCTAAGGACAGAGGAAGGTGTTCTCCGGGGTGTGGGGGGCCTCAGCCGGTGCTCAGCCACCGAGGGGCGAGGGGCGTGAGGGGAAACACAGACGGCTCCGCCATCGGTCCGTGTCCGCGCCGCGCGCGAGCTCCGTGAGCCGAGTGGAAGGTCTGGGGCCAGGGACCGCGGAAAGTCAGCGGGGGGAGCAGAGGGCGCACCGAAGCTCGGCCAGGCAGACCGGACACCCGGCCTCAGCTCCTCTACTCCCCCTGGACCTTACCGAAGCTTCCGAAGCTTCGCCTTTTGCTGTCAAACTGGGGCAATGACTCTGAGTAAACGCCCTGCAGCCGCCCAAGGTGCTATTGCTACGGCAGGCAGAGCGGCCGGCACCCTGGGGACCTTGTGCACGGACCCGAGCCCAGGCACACAGCTACCAGCCCGCCCCAACTGCAGGCCTCCCCTGGGCTGGAGGGATCTCCCCCCGCAGCCTCCTCCCTGCCCTCCAGCGCTGCAGCCTTACCCTCATCATAGTGTCTCCGGGCCTCGGTCCCCGGCTCAGCCCTGGGCACACCCTGGTACAGCCCCTCGCCCACAAAGTCCGTGTAGAAGAGCGTGAAGGTCATGAATGCCATCCAGCTGCACAGCTCGGCCACAAAGAGTCTGCGCAGGGTGCGGGGCACACGGCAACACAGCTGGTGCAGCCGGGGAAACAGGGCACCCAGGTTCCGGAAAGCCGGGCGGGCATGGCAGGGGCAGCAGTGTGGCACTGGGGGGACCGCCAGCCCCTCCGTGGGCTCGGTCGGACCCAGCGCTGCCTCCTCGGCCACAAACAGTGTGGCTGTCACGCAGGTGAGGAAGATGAGGGTGAGCAGGCCAAAGAGGCACTCCTCCTGAGTGCCCAGGTAGGGGGCCAGGGCGCTGGTGTCCCAGTCGATGGCGGGCAGAAGGTAGCCCAGGCAGCCCCCAAGGCTGATCATGAAGGCATAGACGGAGAAGGCCTGGCGGCAGTGGTCTGGGTCCCGGAAGAGGTCAGAGAGCAGGGCCTCCAGCGGAGTGAAGCATACCTGGCCACAGAAGTCCAGCAGCCCCACACCCAGGATCAGCAGCGCCAGCTCCAGGGGCCTGGTATCTGGGCACAGCAGCCCCGCCAGCCAGCCGGCCCTCGGGATGAGGAAGAGGCTCAGCAGGACGCCCAGGGACAGCACCCAGATGAAGGGCCTCCGGCGACCATAGCGCCCACGCCAGTGGTCACTGGCTGAGCCCAGGAGTGGGACCGAGACAAGGCCCAGCACTGGACCGATGCCTGCAGGAAGGACAAGTAGTGATGAGCCAGAGGCTGGGGCCCCAAGGGGCTGTGGGGAAGGGGACCAACCTCCTGGGGAAGGATGGAAATGATCACGATCCTGTCACAGGCAAGGCCTTCGGTGCTGGACATACTGCGGAGTCTGTCACACACACTCTAGTTTAGTCCTTGCAGCTAGGATCACTAATGCCCCATCTGCATTCAGATGGGTGAACTGATGCCCAGAACAACTGCACAGGCACTGAGGTGGGGCAAGAGGGGTAGTTTCCAAAGGGAGTCTGACTCCAGAGCCTATGATCCCAGGAGCCACCCCATGGTGACCATTTGCCTTCTATGGCTTTTGCAAAACACCATCTGCAGTCAAGAGCCCAGCCCGTGCTCTAGGGGTAAGAAAGAGCCCCAGCTGGGAGACCCTGATCCTACTAATCAGTAGCCAGCCTTCTGGCCTGGCTAAGTCACCCCACCACGTCTCAGCCTCCATTACCTCCTCTGTGAAATGGGGGACCTCAGAGTTTGTTGCAAGGATTAAATGCGTAACAGATATAAATTAGAAAAGGCTAAGCAATGGTGAAGAGCAGTGTCTCCTATGCGCTAGGCATTGTGTAGGGGCCCGGGGTATTGTGACCATGGAATGCCCCCATGCTCTTTTCCCATTGCCCCCCACCCCAGCCCACGTCACCCCACTGTCACCCCTCTCCCCAGCAATGCCCACCCACCCACTGGCTCCATAGGCTCAGGACCAGCAGGCAGCTACCTCTCCTTCTTTGGGCAGAGGCACTGTTGCCCTGCTTCCTGGGTGTCCTGTATCTGGAACAGGAGGTTAGGAAGGTGTGGCGACTCACCTAGCACCATGGTCATGAACTTCTCTTCTACCCCCACTTCCAGCAGCAAAGGCGGCACGTAGGTGATACCTGCGGCCAGGCACACCTCCAGGCCGAAGGTCAGCAGGTTGACCAGCAAGAGCTGGGCTTTCCGATGCCGCAGCAGGCGGCTGGCCCACAGCCTCTGGACCATGGTAGGCCAGGCAGGGTAGGCTCCGGCCCCTTCACACACTCCGCCACTGCTGTGTCTCAGCCCTGCTCCAGACGCCCAGGCCTCTCCTCCTTGCTGCCACCGACTGTCCTGGCCTCAGCCACCAGCCCATTTCTGCCAGGCTTCCGTGCAGGTCCAGCGCCTCAGCCCATGCTAAATGCCTGTTGCCATGGGGTGTCTTGACGGGGACATAGCTCATCACTCAGATCCTAAAAGGCCAGGGACAATCCAACACAGAGTGTTAAATCCTGGGAACCAGGCATCCAGGATTTGCTCTTAGATCCCTGAATCCTGTTCACTCCCAGGCTGACGATGTGGCTGTGCCACCCCCTGCTGCCAATCAGGAAATGCATGTTAATGTTAGCCTAAGGCTGACCTAACTAATAAGGTAAATATGATTTTTAAACCTCAGCATACTCCAGAGCCAAAGAGATGTCAGTTTTTCTCTGTTTTGGAATATCTTTGCCATTGCTCTTGCCTGCTGGTATGGAAAAAAGGAAAAAAAAAAAATCAAACCAACTGAATTCCCAGTTTCCCCAGGCTCTGTTATCAAGGTGCCTCTGGAGAGACCCTCTGCCAGGCCTGGTTTGTTTGCTTTTCTCTCTCCACTTCCCAAAGCTGGGCTGTTCAATCCCTCTTTGTTAGGAGTAGCACTTCCTATTCCGCACTGCCTGGCCACAAGCCACGCTGCACCATAACTGGAGCCCCCGAGGACGAGGACAAGGGGGAAGGGAGGAGAGGCCGTGGTTTGCTGGGTTGGGTTTTAACCTGTCATTGAAACCACTTGAAGAGGGCTCCCCTGGAGGAACCTAGGCCTGTAAACCTCTCCCTGGAGTTGCTCTCCGTGCTCAACATTGGTGGGGAAGAAACATTCCCACGTGTAGTGCCCAACTGTCAGGGGACATGGGGCCTGTTCCAGGTCCTGACCTCACAGGGGCATGAAACCGCACCACCTGGTGGCAACCATAATGACACCAGTGACCCAGCACTGGCAGGGTGCCCTACCACTTTCCCAGCAGCCTCTTTCTGCTCCCCAGACCGCTTCCTTCTCAGCAGAGAAGTCCACGCAGCCCTTCCTGCTAGGCCGGCCTCCCATGCATAGGGATCCCACGGGGGACCCACCCCGTGCCCCCCACCCCCAGGCAATTGGCGTCCAGGTCTTGCTTCCTGACAACAGTCCCCAGTGCAGTCTGCTCTGTTTAGGAGTGACCTCAAAAGAGGGATAATCAAGTCAGTCATGAAGAGGAGTATAGAAGGTGGGCCTTCATGAGAAAAGGCGAAAGTCCCCTGACTTGTCATTCATCCCAAAGAGGTGGGAACAGAACTTCCTGGGGAGCTCAGAGTGCCTTCCCCTGCCTCACTGATCCACTCTCATAAACACTGTGGAAGGGCACCGCTCCCGGGGAAGGGCACCGCTCCCGGGGAAGGGCACTGTTCCCGGGGAAGGGCCCAGCTCCCGTGGAAGGGCCCGGCCCGTGGAAGGCCGCCCCGTGGAAGGGCCCAGCCCGTGGAAGGGCACGCTCCCGGGGAAGGGCACTGTTCCCGTGGAAGGGCCCGGCTCCCAGCTAGCGTTCAGCCCCTTAGTCCTGCCCCGCCCCTCCCCCACCAGAGTGGGGCACCCTCAGCCCTCATTCATTCCCCTCATTCATTCCCGTCCAATCTCAGCATCTCATCATCTGCCACTTCAACTTCTTTTATCTTTTCAAATAACACTCGGGCGCCCAGGGCCTTGTGTGCGTACCAGCACGCGGTAGGTGCCTTCTGAAATACGCTGCAGAGAAACCAGATGGCCATCAATCCCAGGTAAGATGTGTGTGTCCCATAACCGCGTTCCTAGGCTTTGCAGCTGGCAGACCAGGACGGAAGGCTGGGCAACCGCAGCCTCCTCCCCAAAGTTCTGCTGAGACCCAGACCATCCGCTTTGGGAAGGGGCATGGATTCCTATGGGGGTGCCATGGGGAGGAGGGTAACATACTGACCCCCGGGGTCCCTAAAGGGGCTGGGAGGGGGCCACAGGTCAGCCCTAGCTGGGCAGTTCTGAGCCAAGCTCCTTCCCTGTCACTGCATTCCCCCGCCCCCCACAAGGAAGGCAGGAGATAGCACACAGACCAAGAGGGGGTCTTCTCCAGCCCAGAGGGAGGGGCTCTGGGTCAAAAGGCTTCCAGCCCGCTCTCCTCCCCACTCTCGGTCTGCGGAGGCCCTGGACACTCATCTGCTGTGGGTTAAGGGACCAGGTCCTCCCTGAGCAAACAGACTGTCAGACCCTGACTTACCCACATCCTGCCCCCATTCCCAAGCCCTTGCTGCTCCCTGTTGTTCAAAGTGAATTGCAGCTCTGCTCTGCGCAAAAGACTAATCACCCCACCTGCCCTCTTCCCTTCCCTGACCCAGCCCCATGCTCCCAGGAAGAGGCAGGACACCCTCCTTAGCCCACAGGAGAGAAAGACAAAAAGACAAAAGGAGGGGATCCCTGGGTGGCTCAGCGGTTTAGTGCCTGCCTTCGGCCCAGGGCATGATCCTAGAATCTGGGGACGTAGTCCCACAGGGGGCTCCATGCAGGGAACCTCCTTCTCCCTCTGCCTGTGTCTCTGCCTCTCTCTCTGCGCATCTCTCATGAATAAATAAATAAAATCTTAAAAAAAAAATGGGCAGCCCAGGTGGCTTGGTGCCGCCTACGGCCCAGGGTGTGATCCTGGGGACCTGGGATCGAGTCCTGCATCGGGCTCCCTGCGTGGGGCCTGCTTCTCCCTCTGCCTGTATCTCTGCCCACCCCCCCTCTGTCTCTCATGAATAAATAAATAAAATTAAAATTAAAAAAAAGACGAAAGGAGGTGAAGAGGGGAATTTCCCTCCATCCTCCCTCAGTGCAGATAGCTCATTAGCTGCCTGCCTCTCCCTCCCTTCTCTGGCCTGCATTCTCCTCCTCTTCACCAGGTAAGGGGGGCTGGGTGCCAGGCCAGGGGAAGAAGTCTTTGAAAGGAGTAGGGTAGGAAGTGAGCCCAGCCCAGCACCCCTCTGTTCTTAGGCTGCAAAGCCCATCTTCCCTCTTTTGACTTGCACTGTGCCCCAAGGACTAGGGCACCCTTGCCACCCCTAGAGCTTATTCTTCCCAGCGCAGAACTGCCTAAGGAATTCCAAGCCCCTAAGAATATTCTCCCTTCCGATGATTCCCCCCACCCAGGACGTTCCTCAGAGCCCCAGGCTCACCCACGTCAGCCCCACTCCAGGGTCCTCGGTGTGGAAGGAGCCACAAAGGACTCCCATGGTGCTAACCAGCCACCTGCCATCCGCCCAGGGCACGATCACGAAGCTCAGGCCTTGCCCAGGCTCGTGCCCAGGCTCCAGGAGGTAGGAGAACAGAACCACTTTCCTGGCTATCACTGCCCCCTGCAGCCCAGGGACACGCTTCCCACCACAGCTTCTAAGTGACAGAGGACTGCTGGCACCCCCTTTGGGGCACTCCCCTGTCTTCCTCAGGAACACAGCGGGGAGACAGAGTTCAATTCTCCCCAACACCCTGCGGTGTCAGAGGTGTTTCTGACTCAAATCCTGTCCACTGTTCCTGGAGCACTCTGCCTGTCTGGCAAACAGAAGATCAACCAGAAGAGCCTGCCTCGAGGGTTCACCTGGTAGGGAGGAGGCGGGAAGAGGAGAGAGGGGAAGGGACCAAAAGGGGAGTGTGACCTGACCTCCTGGAAGGAACAGCAGCGTTCAGGGAGGATGAGTCTCTCTCAAGCTCCAAGCATCTGTCCTCCAATGACAGGACAGCACGAAGGTTGGAAGAAACCCAAGACCTCCAGGAACCCCCGTGGAGCTCTGCCCCAGGCCACCTTTCCTCATCCCTGGGGAGCAGAACCCAAGCACCCAGGCTGGGCCAGTCAGTGAGCCCAGCCCCACGTAGCAGGAGACCCAACGAGCAACCCTCTGGCACCCACCCCATCATGAGGGGCCTGGGAAACATTTACCCAAAGAACACAGGGCTGAAAGCAGCGTGGGGGTGGGCGGTGTGAGCCCTGAGGACACCCCATCCCCACCCACACCGAGGGAACCCTGGCCAGACCCCCCCCACCGAGGAGGCAACCCCTCTAAAGTTTCAAAGCTGGCAGGGGCTGGGGGGGACACTGCAGCACAGCCTCTCGGGCTGAAACACCCCACGCGGGGTTAGGCCACGGGCAAGCGTGGGGAAATGAAACCAAGCAGCAAGAGCAAACTTGGCCTGAACTTTCTCCAAAATTCAAAAGACAGAGTGAGGAGGTGGGAGGAGAAGCAGAGCCCACTCCCGCCGCTCCCTGCGGGAAAGGAGGGTCAGAGGGACGCATAAAGAGGCCTTTGAGGGCTTTCAAAGGGGCTCCTGCCACCCTGACGACTGAGGTGGAGCTAGAGGGAGCGGATTCTCTCCGCTGACAGACAGAGGCCAGAGCAGCCCCGCCTCGGGCCAGTGTCAGGCAGCAATTCTATGGCCCCTTTATGCAGGCCTCGTCCCCCTACCCCGCCCAGGCACATCAAACGCCGGCCCCCACCCTGACCCCAGCAGCTCGGCGACCCCCGTCCTCCCTCCACGCTCACAAAGGCGGCCCAGCTTTCTCACACGCTCCTCTACCCTTCACAGCCCCCGGGCAGCCCCTCCCGCCGGGAAGGCAACGGGGTGGGGGGCTCCCTCCTGAAACAGTGACTCAGCTACAGAAAGGGGGGGGAGGCCCTCCGGCCAGTCTCCCCAACACCCCCCATCTCCTGGGCTGTCGGCACCTCAGGCCACAGGCCAGTAAAGGGGGGGGAGAACCCCAGGTGGAGGCTACAAGGCTGCAGGGAGGGGGGGACCCCCATTCCTGCACACGGGACTGGATCCTAGAATCCCATCCGAGCTGAGCTCTCCGGGCCCTCTAGGTTCTGGGGTTCACCAGCCCCGCATCCCTGTGACCCAACCCTTGCCTCGGTTCCAGGGGACGAATGTCCTTGGCCTTACCGGGTGAAAGCCAGCACACTGTACCCTCGAAATGAGCTCTACCCTCGCGGGGCCCTAGGGTGCCCCAGAAAGAGGCAGTGCCGGCCAGCCAGGAGACCTGAAAAGGAGCATCCTTGTGAGGCAGTAGCTCCCATCTCAGCCCCAGTCAGGGATGCGGGGCTGTGGGAGTGGCTACCTGGGCAGCCTGGGGGGTGGGGGGGCGCAGGAGGAGACCCTGCCTGGTCAGCGCCTTCCTACTCGCCTTTGGTTCTCGGGGCTCTAACTTCCACAGAAGTGAGAGTCTGCTCTCCCCAGCCCCCCCCCTATAAAAAAGGCACTGATCTGCAGAAACACCCGGGGCCCACGTTAGGCAGGGCTCCCCCGGACACCCCGAAAGTCTGCTCACAAGGCAACCCCTCACCCCCAGGGACTGTCAGGAGGAAGGGCTGGACGGAGGGGAGGGGGCTCCACCCCCACCCCAGTCTCGCTCCCTAGCTCCTGCCTCCCCCAGGGCCCAGAGGCCAGGGATTTGGAGTTCGCCCGCTGCGCTGCCTTTTCTTCCCTCGGACTGGAAGCCTTCTGCTTAGCAGCTTGTCAGAGGGAGTGAGGGGGCTGCAGGCCGGGACACAATGGGGGATTACGGAGAAACCTCTCGGCCTGCAGAGTAATCCATCAAACTCTCTCCCGGCTGCCAGCACCGGCCCCTTCCCACTCAATTCCCCTTCCAGCTGCCGCAGGCCTCCCACCCCCGCCGGCTCCTGAGCCCCGTCACTGGGGGCGGCACAGAGAATCCCAGGCCCTGGGGGGGCAGAAGGGCCACACCGCAGACACTGGGAACGGGGAGCAGCTCCCTCCCCCCACTCACCCCCAATGTGTGAAAACCCAACAGGTGGCAGTGGCTTGAGGAAAGTTGCTTTTGTTGCCCTGTCTGAGAGCCCCAGCCCCGCTTCTGAAAGGAAACAAATGCGCAGAGGTTGGGGGAAGGGGAGGGGGCTGGATGAGCAGGCGGGCAGGCAGGCCCTGGAGCCCAATCTCATCTCCCCTCCCCTCTGCAATCCAGTTGACGGGAGTCCTGGGGCTGGCCTGACCCTCACCGTGGTTGGTCAGTCCCAGCCAGACTAAGCTGAGGTGAAGCACCTTCCCAAGGGATCACCTGGCCATTCCAGAGTGACAGGCTGCATGGACACACACCTGACTCGGGACAGTGACCGCCCACAACCAGACTTCCTTTCTGAGCACGGAGGCGACCCGAGGTCACACCGGGTCACCTTGACCAATGCCCTCGGAACCAAGGCGACCGACCGCACCCTTCATCCTAGAGCTGTCTTCTACCCCAGGGACCGCCAGCTTCTGAACACTGGCGGTGCTGCAGGGTGGACCCTGGCATGCAGTCAGCCTGATTCGGGCTCATGTGCCAACTGCCCTCCCAATCCCTCCCACCCTGAGGAGGTGGGTACAAGGAGTACACACATTTGACAGGTGAGGAGACAAAGGAATACCATCCGCCTCCTAGACACAGCTCGTGGAAGTTCCCGGCAGCCCCTCCTTCCGCTGTCTGGGCTTCCTCAGCCCAGAAACCTGGCAGAGGGCTCTCTCAATCCCAAACAGGAGCACCAGAGGTCAGAGGGGGGGCCACTAGCCGCCTTTCCTCTCCAGTAGCATTCCCCTCTCACCCACGTGCCACCCACGCCGGCACTAGCGCCCCTCTCAGCCCCCAGAGGCCAGAGGAATGCCAAGAATGTAAATGCCTCCCCAGGTGCTGGCTCCGACAGGTGAGGAGAGGTCACTGCATCAGACCTGCCTGCTGGCTGAGGCTGCAAAGGCAGATAGACGTGGAACAAACATCCCACAGTTATGAGACAAGGGTGGATCCCGTCCCCAGGGACAATAATCAGGGTGGCTGACACTGGCTAACTGTCCAGAAGGTGTCTGGCATGTGCTGGATACCTGACATACCTTCCTCTCCAATTCAACTGCTGCAGGGTGCTCTGAACTGTGAACCAGGACCATACAAGTCTACTTTTCAGCAACTTTTGCTGCTGTAGAGCCTGGCCGGGCCATTTTACACACACCAGGGACTCACATGTGTAAAATGAGAACTAGTCCACACACTGTCTAAGGTTCTTTACAACTGTACAGCTAAATGCTCTCACACCCACCCGCCCCCCACTGCCCAGCCTCAGGTACGGTGCTCTCCTTAGACAGGTGCCTCCTACCTAAGTGCTCGCTGCCAAGCCACATGGCACTGGGGAGGGTGTCTCATAGCCTTCCACTGTAGAGAGGAACAGGGAACCAGGTGGCGAGGGGCTCCCCAACTGCACTTACCCCATCCTTTACCTGCCGCCACACTGCCCAAGGGTTAGCAGTCACTTGAAACTGAGCCAAGTAACGGAGACATCTGGGGGCAGAGCTGCCCTCTTTCCTACTCCCTCCCACAGCTCTACTGTTCCTGGCAGAAATTGGTAAATTCTTTCTCTATTTGGGCCACAACAATTGCTTCCCTACAAAGTGGGGTAGCAATACCAAGAAACTCCTTGGTCCCTGGCGGGGAGAACAGGGAGCTTGGCACAGTCCTCCCGGCCCCTGAGACGTGTCCTCCTCCTGCTGCCTTCTCAGTCCCTTATAGCCCCTGCGAGGTGAAACCTAACAGCCTCCCTCCTAGTGAATTTGAACTTTGCCAGCCAGCCAGATGGGGCAGCTCTCCCCATCCTGCAGAGCCGACCCTTGCCCCCTTCCTGCAGACTGGCTTCCCTTAGGAGGTGGAAGCACAGAGGCCAGAGGCCAGGGCACGCGGGGTTTGGGCAGATCTACCGATGAGCAGAACCCCAGGGTGGGAGTAGGACCAGGACGCTGGTCCTAAGTCTGCTCTGTCCCACCTCTAGTCTCAAATTCAACGGTCTCTCAGGCCCTCTCAGCCCTGATATCCTAGGTTCTGTGACCAGTCCTATTTATCGTCCCAGGGCTATGGGCCAGACCTAGCCCTATGGAAACGTGTTCTCAACAGCAGCCACTCAGTGGTGAGCAGGGTGCAAGGGGGCTCCAAAAAAGGACTCTTTTATTAAAGAGTCTGAGTTTGTCCACCCTTGGAGGAAGTATGCCTCAGTGCATGCAACCTAACCTCCCCCAAAGGAATGTCAAAGAGCGCTAAAACTAACTCCCTCACTCACCCACCCACCCACCCATCCAACACTTGCTGAGATCCAATTACCTGCAAGCCCACCGTGAAGGTGCTGGGGATACAGAAGCAACTGCCTACGGCCCCTTGTGGCAGTGCTGAGACACAAGTTGCTGGAGTTGGGGGCCCAAGGTGCAGGGCATCAACAGCTCTCCCAGGGCTTCCTGGAGGAAGAAGCCATGTTGTGGAGTCTCATAAGATGAGTGGGTCAGAACCATGCAGAAAAGGGCAAAACACAGCCATTGGGGCCTGGCTCTTCTGCACACACCTGCCTCTCCTTATGGCCCCTCCCTGGTGAGGTATGGTAGAAAGAATACCAGACCCAAATTGTGGCAATGCGTTTCCATCTCAGTTCTGGACCCAAGCTGGGGGAATTTATCAGCACTGGGCCTGATTTTCCTTCCAAAGTAGTCACCATGTTCCAATTACTTCCTTGGGACGCCTCCCCATTCACCTGACCCCTGTCCAGTTCAAATCCCATATCTCCTCTACAGCTCCCCTGGAATCCAAGCCATCACGGATTCCCCCCTTTCCTCCAAATCTTGCTGCCCTCAACAGGCAGCCCTCAGGGTTGGATAACTGCCAGTGATCCTTCTGGTCTCCTTCCCCATCCCCCGCCCCACTAGCCCTTCAGCTCCTGGAAAGCAAAGGACCACAGTCCTTGTCCAGGACCTAGAGGGGGGAGTGCTCAATCAAAGGCCTTCCAAGTGAGGCTGAATCAGGATTCCTGTCTGATACAACGTGACCAGCCTGCCCAGGATTCAAATACCTCCCCACTCAAGGTATTTGGGTGCTCAGCTTTTTCCAGCGGCAGGACCCCGGACTGGGGAGCTAGACCGCCACATCCCCAAAGATGGGCTGTGTGCTTCCAGCTTGGACACTGCTTGCCAGCTCAAAGGATATTCAAACTTTGGGTTTGGGGTGGAGCATGACAAAGAGCATCGGGAAAGGAGGGACTTTTCTCTGGCTGGCTGCTTCTGAGGGCAACTACCTGAAATTGGTAACTGAGGGACTATGGGCCATTAGACCAGGAGCTGGTCTCCAGCCCCTTTCTTGCTTCCCAGAGAGAGTGATCTCCAGAATTAACAAAGGGAAAGGGAACAAACAAGTATTGAGCACCTGGTCTGTGCAGGCCACTTTGTTAAACAGACCTATCTCATTTAATCCTCATTGTAATATTGCAAGGTGAATATCATCCTCTCCGTTTTACAGACACTAAAGTCAACAGGTGAGGTAGGCCTGTCTCCAACATCAGAAGCAAGAAGCCCTTACAAGCCATTCAGGGTCAGGGGCAAAACTGTGGACCTCTTCCCTGGAGGAGGAAACACAGACCTCATAGTAGGAAAGGGATTAAATAGGAAGCTCTGGCCAGATATCAGGACCATCCCGGGATGGCTCGGTCAGCCCCCGCCCCCAAGCAGGGACACTTAATACACTAGACAAAGCTCCACACTCCAGCTCTATTGCTGGGAGTCAAGTGGCATCAGCATTTGAGATGCTGGGCCTGGCACCAACTGGTCCAGCCTCTCTGTCCTTGCTGCCCAGCAAACAGGGCCAATGACTATTCAAAGAAAGCCAGGCTGGGTTTTTCTTCTGGATATCAGAAAGCAATGCATCCCAAGGGCTGGGGGGGGGGGGGAGGGGGGAGGAGGACAGAGCAGAACCCCAACTTCAGTATGCCCCCTCCGCCTCATACAGTTTCCCTAAAATTCACAGCAAATAACCCTTCTGCATAGAAAGCTCTTAATCTTTCAAGATACATATTCATCTCCATTGTCTCTTGGTATTCTCTTCCACCTTGAGGAGACAGGTAGGGCAGGGGTTTCTGGACTGATTAAAAAACAAGTCACACACACAGTACTGACGGAGGAGAGACCAGGATGTCCAGTCCTGGTGTGTTCTTTGCCCTAGACCACAAGTTCAACAGCAAGTAGGTCATTCACAGTTTATATATAGTTATATATGGTCTAAATCTCTTGCTCTGAGACTCTGGTTTCTAAGCATAAACCGCAAAGATTGCCTCCATGGTCACCAAATAACAGCAGCTGACATTTATCAGGCTCTTTTTACACACCCCTGCTGCGCTTGGAGCTTTACCTATATCAGCTCCTTTAATCCTCCTGATACGGGGAGGCCAGTACTGTTACCGTCATTTGACAGTGAAGGAAGTTTGAAGCACAGAGAAATTACTTGCACAAGAGGAAATGGGATTAAAATCACGGCACCTGGATGCCAGAGGCCAGTCTCTTTGCTAGTCAGACAGGCTCCCTGAGGTCCAGGAGAACTTGCTCCCAAAGAAACAAGAGCAGACCCCAAGCACAGAGTCCCAGGCTAGGTGCTGCTACCCATTTGGCCCCGGGGGGAAGGACACAGTATTAGCTAATGTTGAAGGACCACTTAGCACAAAGTCCAGTGCTCTGTATGTGTGATTTAATAAAGCTCTGCATTTGTCATGTTGTATACATTTTATACAAGCAGCTATTTATATTTCATAAACAAAAAAAGCTATGGGGCACCTGTCTGGCTTGGTCAGAAGAGCATACAACTCTTGATCTCCGAGTCCTGAGTTTGAGCCCCAAATGCGGTGTAGAGCCTAAATAAATAAACTTTAAAAAAAAAAGGCTGTCTTTACAACTTTATCATTATTACTATCAGCCCCATTTTGCAGCCAGATATCAGAGGCTTTGAAGAGGTTAAGTAACTTGCCCAACATTCCACAGCTAGCGGAGCATCCAAGATATAAACCTTGTCTTTCTGACAATCTAGGTTTTTACCCATAAGGTTGTGTTGTCAGGCTCAAATCATCCAAACGCTAGAACTTAATTTCACCTTCAGAGTCCTTAGACCATCCCCATCTTTCCGCCTTGTTCCTTCAGAGCCCTGCCCCGGCTGAGAGGGGCCTCCACTCCATCCTTCCACTCCCTAGTGGCCTGTTAAGACCTCCAGTGGGTCACCAAGAATCACCATGCAGCTCCTCCTCCTCCTTCGGGATACCCCGGAGAGCCAGGAGGGGCAGGGGAGTTCAAGGCACACTCCATGACTACACAGGAAAACTTCCCCTCGCACACCCCACACACATACTCTAATTGGGGCCTGTATGTCCACAGCTGTACATTCATCCACAGCTGTATTTTTCTCTTCCTACTCATCCTGCTGACTCAAGCTCCATTTTTCTGAGCACTTTTAGAAAAACAGAGTCCTGGCTCCATGGCAGGCCTGGGGGGGAGGAGATAAGGAAGGAATGAGGGGATGGGACCCATCCAACAGAAGGGCCTGTGACCTCAAATACCGCAGCACTCACTCCCTAGGAGAAGCTGCGCTGTGCTTTTCCCCAGGCTTCCCTTCCAGCCTGGACCTCTGCGGCCCCCCCCTCCCTCCCCCACCATGTGCCAGTCTGCTTCCCAAGCCTTGGGCAGGTGAGCCCACGCCAAGTTCTGTATTGTTCTGAAAGGAGATCTGCTAAGTGCAGGAGGAAAGCGGCCAGAAGCCCCCCGGGGGCCTCACCCCAGGCCTGAGCGAAGCTTCCAAGAGCCCAGTAAGGGTCACTCTGGGCCTGGGTGCGCTGGCTATTCCCGCCTGCAGACTGCAGGGCAGAAAAACAGCAGCTGGGCTATTCTTAGTGTGCGCTCCACTGGGATCAGGTCTGTGTAACAGCTGAAGGGCAAGTCCTCACCAGGTACCCACCATGCCAAACCCCTCCCTAACCCCAACTCTGGCCCCGGAGAAAGGAGGAAGCAGGGTGGCAGGAGTGGCCCGCGGGGGAGGGGGAAAAGCTGAGCAAGGCAAGAGCGTCAGTGAGGAAGGTGGAAGCTGATTCAGAGGTCAAGGGCAAAAGCAAGTGGGGGGGGTGATTCTTGTGCTTGGGGGGAACAGCAGGCCACGGGAAGGGCTGGCTCTCACTCGGGAGAAAGGCGCAGGTTTCCAGGAGCTCGTCCAGCAGGCCACGCTGCTGCTAAGCCCAGAGCCCAGGGAGGCCACAGCGGATGCCCGGGTACCACCTCCTCGCACCTGTTTGCAGGTCTCAGCGAGAGCCCGGGGAGGCGCGGAGAAAAGGGCCTCTCGTCTCGCGTCCCTCCGCCCCAGAAGGGCGCAGCCGGGGGCGGAGGAAGCCACACACCCGCCCCCGCCAGCCTCAACTCCCCGCCCAGAGCCCCGCGCCAAGCGCTCGCTGCCCTTTCCCTCCCGGACAACCCCGGACCCCAGCCCCAGCGAGCGGCATCCCGGCCGCGGGCCCCTTTCCCGGCTCCCCAGCCCCGGGCTGTGCGCGCCGCGGTGACTCATCCCGTCCCTTTCCGGTGGAGCCGAGACAAGGGAAGAAAATAAATGCAACTTTCCAAAGAAAACTCTGACGCCGGAGCTGCCACAGGAGCGAGCTGCCCGTCCGCCCGCCGCCCGGCCCGGCCCGGCCCGGCCCGGCCCGGCCCGGCCCGGGGTGCGCCCTGCGCTCCCGCCCCGCCCGCCTTCGGCGCCGCGCGGACCCCGCTGCAAGACGCGGGGCGCGCCCGGGGCCCGCCGCCTCCCCCGGGCACCCGCGGGGCGCAGGACACGCCCCCCGCGCCCCCCGGAGCCGAAGGCGCGCGCCTACCTGGCCGAGGCGCGCGGCTGTCCCCGCCTCCTCCCGCCGCCCGCCGCCCGCCGCCCGCTTTTAAATCTCCAGGTGGCTCGGCGGGGGGAGGGAGCATGCGCGCTGGGGCCGCGGGAGGGGCGGGGCGAGGCGGGCCGCGGCTGCGGCTGCGGCTGCGGCTGCGGGGCGGGGAGGGGTGCGGCGGGGAGGGAGCCGCAGGTCGCGGAGCGGGCTCCGTAGCCGCGACCCAGCCGGGCAGCCCCCGCGCGGCTCCGCGGCTGCCCTGGCATCACCTGGGCCCGTGCGCCGCCGAGACCTTTAGGCGAAAGCCGCGCGGCCCCGCGGGGCCCCGCCCTCCCGAGCCGGGCGCCCC